AGATGAGATGTTTTGCTCTGTTCTCTACTCTGTCAAGCAGTCGCAGATGAGAGGGGGGCAGGCAAACCAAGAACCTTCTCTCTCTCTCTCTCTCTCTCTCTCTCTCTCTCTCTCTCTCTCTCTCTCTCTCTCTCTCTCTCTATCTATCTATCTCTTCCCCATTTTCCCTTCTCGCTCTCCCCCTCTCCTTCCCTTCCCTTCTCTCTCTTTCCCCCTCTCTCTCACACTCTCTCTCCCCCTTTCCCTTCTCACTCTCCCCCTCTCTCTCTCTTTCTACCTTTCCCTTCTCTCTCTCTCTCTCTCTCTCTCACACACACGAAAAAAGAAAAAAATGGTGGGGACTCACAGGAACCAGGGATCAGATGAGAATGGTTCTGGTAGGGAGGAGTGGATGGAGGAGCAGTGGAAAAGGATGGAACAAGAGTGGGAGAGAAAATTAGGAGAGCTTTCTGAAAAAATGGAAAAAGAGCTCTCTGTAAAATTGGAAAAGAGGTTGGAGAAGGAAACAAAGAATTGGGAGGCACAAGTCGAAACTGCAGTAGCCAGGATAAGGGTCCTAGAAGTTGAGATAAATAGGCTGAAGTGAGTTACAGGGGCAGTGACCAAAGAAGACACAGCATATGAAGCTGAGAGGCTTTACAGGAAGGAAGGAGATATGAATTATGCTAAGGTCATATCAGCCTGCCAAGAAGGGCCAAGGAGTGAAAGGGAAGAACAGCTGGGTGCAGATGGAGTGGGTGATAGGTCGAATGCTGAGGCACAACCATGCTATCAAGAGCCACTGGAAAAATCAAGGGAGAAAATGACCACATACAGGCAGGATCCAGAGTCACAGAGGGTGAGGCAATGGGAGGAGGAAAGGGCAAAATCAGTGTTTATCCATGGGCTTCAGGAGAGAGAGGAAAGGACACACACTGAAGGGCGGCAGGAAGAAAGAAAGGAGATTGAGAAAATCATCACAGACATAGGTGAAGAGATGGACGAGATTGTAAATTTTCAGAGAATAGGGGAGTACTCGAAGGGGAGAAACCGACCGATCAAGCTGATTCTAAGGACGGAAACAGTGCGGAACAGGATCCTCCAAGAGAAACTACGGTTGAAATACTCGGAAGAGTATAAGAGGGTGTTCCTAGACAGAGACAGAACACAAACAGAACAACAGCAGCTGAGGGAGAGGACAAAAAAGTGAAAGGAGCTAGGAAAGGAGACATGGATGGAACCAGCAGAGGTCAGAGCAGAATAGAGCAGCAAGGGCAAGCACACACACAACTATTCTCAGAACCCCACAACCTATCATGCCATCCCAACACACACACAATCCATACCCACAGCCTCCACCCAACACCAAGCTATAGAATGCCACAGTATGCTACCAGGTCTCCCACCCTCACAGGCCCCCCAAACCACAGTGTTGGAAAGGAAACTGAAGGTATGGTACACAAACGCTGATGGAATAACAAATAAGTGGAAGGAGTGGCACAGAAGAGTCAAAGAGGCATCACCGGACATCATAGCTCTCACAGAAACCAAGCTTACAGGTATGATAACAGATGCCATCTCTCTAACAGGATACCAGA